TATCACTGTAGTCAGACAGAGTGGAAATGAAGAAATTCTACCACAGCTCTATGAAGTTTCGGGTAAGCAGATCCTGTGTTACTGGTGTCATTATGTAAGTTCTCGCTGTAGGATTTCACAGGATTTTTTTCATTCACTGAAATTCAGTTAAAGAACATCACCAGAAAGCATTGGCTTGATGGCATGACAGTGCTCACCAGCTGAAGATTGCCATCTTCATAAACAGTGTTTAATTGTAAGACAGAATAATCACAAATGCAATTATAAATATTAATTTTGAATAATAATAGATTAATAAAATGGAATTAATACGATTCTCTGTTTTGATGGATTTGTGCAAAGTCATCACCGCACACACTGGAAGACAATAGCACAGTTTGCCAGAAATTCTTTAAACAAAATAAAAAGTCTTGAACTTAGATGATAACTCTATTCAGTGAACTGTTATGCGTGGTACTGAGGTCATCACTCACACAAACAAAAACAAAAATTCAAACTAAGATTTTTGATGCTTATTGCTTTTTGTAAAAACAAAGGTGCATTTGATTTAGGAAAAGTATTTATTTTGTTCCTAAATATTGCCTTTGCCAACAGAGGATAGGTAGTCTATTGAATTCCTGATACACATACAGCTCTGCAACACTGAGCCTGCATCTCTGAAATCTCAGTTATTGCTCCCTCCTCTTCTGTAAATATTTTTGCACCTGCCTTGTTTCAGAGTTAAATTTGGCTCAATGACTGTGTTATCACTACTTATATACTTGAGGTTAAGCTATCCAAAAGTGCAGGATATACACTGTATAAGCAAGTGAGTAGGACAGAGTCAAACTTACAACAAGAGAACTTTGTGGATATCTATGGTTTTATTTTAAGTTCACACCTGCAGTATGTTTAGTGCTCTTGATTTCTGTAGAAACTAATGAGAGTTGGGTGTTGTCACCACATGCAAGATATAGATATAATCTGGGAATTTGTCATATGATTAAGTACTAACTGACAGTTACTGATATTAAAGCACTTCTGACTAAATTTTGCCTCCTCTTAGATATGTGTCTGAGAGAGGGAGAGAGGCCATAAAAGGCTGTTTGTCCTCAATCAATTTTTTTGTTTGGTTTGCTTTCTTCAGGGAGTTCAGGTATTAACGCATCTTACTTGCATGGAATAAAAGGTCAGTGCTGCAGGCTAGTTGCTGCCAACACAAGTTACGTCTCTCAGGGCAAAGGCATTTCTGATTACAGTGACATGAAGCCTACAGTTCCACATCCCTCTTTTGTTCCCAAATGATAGCAGCAACAGAGCAAAGCATCACAGGATCTTTAAAAAGGCAAAGCCAAGTTTGCCACAGCTTTCCTTCTCTCCACAGAATTCCTGGAAAGAATAAAGGAGGTAGATAAGGAGAGTAATCACACAGTTGATGTACTGCAGGGAGATGTTGAAAATCTTAGCAATGTGGGAAGGAGAAGCATCCAAATATAACAAAAGAAAATATCTATTTAAAAAAAAATCCAAAGTTATGATCCTATGATGGATCTGTTGTTTGGAACACATGGTTTCTGCAGATTGCAAGCAAGGAGTCAAATTCACCGTGTTCCCTCAGATTGTTTTAGGCAGCCTGGTTTTAAAAGCCATAGGACTACTAAGTGCTTGTGGAGTGCTCTCCCCACCTCCACTCACCAGCCACATGCCTACCATTTTAGTCTTGTCAGAACTATAGTTGAAATAACAGAATGTATTAGTAATCAAATATCTGAGATACTGTTAATAATCCCCATGAAATAGATGAAAAACTCAGGCAGGGGGGACTTAGGAGCAGGGTAGAGCAAAGCTGTTGGTGTTTTCAAAGAGATAATCTTGCCTGCCAGTACTTCAGAAGTTATGGCCTTAGCATGCTGACTGTTCAAATATTATACTCAATCATGGTTCAATCTAAGTAGGTTTTTGACAGCAAGTAAATGCATTATGATTATTGTGAAGTTTAAATTGACCTCTCTGCTCTTCAACAGCTTGATGTGATATCAGTATTGCCGTTTGAAGTTTTATACTTCTTCTTTGGATTTAACCCAGCATTTAGAGCAAATCGGATGCTAAAGGTAAGATCTGTGTTAGTGATGGATGGCTAACCACACATAAATGTTTTTACAATCCAATGGAAAGTTGTTTATAATATTTAGGAATATGAAATTTAGAAATTGGAAAATGTCTTCAGGATAAGCTACAACATCAATAAAAAAACTCAACAAAAAATACAAGATATAATCTAGCCAAATGAAGCCCTTATTCTCTTACTTTTCTTCTGACTTTATTATTTCCTGCTTTGAAAAGGTGTTTTGTGATTAAGGCTGGTTTGTTTCCATTACTTAAATTAGATTAATCTTAAATTACCTGTTTAGTTTTCAAAGACCAAAAAAAATTAATTTAAGATCACTAATTAATGCCAATGTATTTTCCCCTTCTGTTAGTAATGTCAGGTGCTTAAAAGCAAGGGAGGGAACTTTAAGGACAACATAAAGTGTACACAGAGTATTTAGCAATCATAAACCCACTTTTGTTATCGAGTCCAAAGACATCTGGAGTTGTGCAATGAAGGGGCTAAGAAGGGAATAGACAACAGCCCTCTCCCTGCATTTCATTGTACCTAGAAGGCCATTCTGTGGCTAAATATATTCCCCTTCACACAGGGAATATGTTGACAAAGAATTGGTTTTCATTTAAAGTTGGAGGAGGAACAAGAACTCTGAGAATAAAATGAAGGTGCTCTTCCCTTCAGTTTTCAAGAAAACTTCAAAATTCCATAAATCAGATCCAAAACAATATGAAAGAATGAAAAGTTAATCAGTACCTCATATTAGGCAAACAGACATGTACTGAATAGAAACAAAGAAAAAAGCTACATGTGACTATTAAGGGCTATCACTAAAGTTAAACTACAAATAATTAACAAGAGGAATTCGATACAGCAGCAATTGTTACTACATGGTGTCGTCTAGTATGTAGTTGTTGATACATGCGATCACTTACTGAGAATTACTGGATTTTCAGACAGTAAAAAAGGATTTTTATGTATGTAATTCTCTCTGATAAAGTTGCCCAAGCAATTATATATATTTGACGAAGTAGAAGTCATTCATCTGCAGCAGTCTGACCTAAACAGCAAGGTTATTTCTATAATCAGATTAATGGGACACTCAACAGCCAACACAACATTTAACTCAATTTTCATCTTTGCTTTGCAGTTCACCTTTTAGTTAAATGTTTAAAGAAAGTCAGACTATCGAAAAATCCATTATTTTCAAGATATGTATATGAACTAATATCTGTACTATTAGAAAAAGATGTGTGCTGACGAACAGTGATTGGATTACTTTCATTTGTTTTCCATTCAGCATAACACATTCTTTGAGTTTAATGATCGCTTGGAAGCTATCCTGGACAAAGCATACATCTACAGGTATGTGCTTATTAAACTCTCGTAGCATGCAAAGCTTGGCACGGAATCCATTTCATTTGATTTCATGACTTGTCAGTGAAGCACTGGATGGAAAATGATACATCTTTAACTGTTCAATTTAAGATTTTTTAAAATATCTGTCTTTATTGTAATCATTAAAATAATAAATGTAAAACTTCACTCACATATGAAATCTATCTCAGTTCAGCTGGCCTGGTTCAGGCAAAATGTTCACCAAACTGAGGCTCCTGACAAAATTTAACTGATCAGAATTGTCAGAAGTTTCTTTAGTGAAAGAGCTAAAGAATAGTTTCTTTAGGTTGCTAATAACAGTGCCAAATCCTCAGTAGCTGTTTATTTGTACTTAGTAAGAGTCATGAGCTTGAGCCTGAGTCAAGATTTTTCTTCAAATAAGCTCTCACCATGAACCTGGCATATACAGAACCTTGATCCTCCACTGCATTGACTAAACTTGGAATGAGAATCAACTCAGCACAGATCTCAAATAGTGATTATAACTGTTGTCCGCTGCACTATGTTTTCACCCTCTGCATTGACTAGAATAATACTGGAACCAACTCAAGCAGTCCGTGGACATGGGCATAGCAAGTTTCACAGGCCCCTCAGCAGTCAGTGATGCTGCTAAGACCCAATGAATCCATCTACTGTGTCACCATCATTCTCATCTACTGTGAGTGTCATCAGATGTAGTTTATCCTGTGCAATTCCTACACCAACAGATTTTTTTTTTCCCTGTCCCAGTTTTGGGGCATGTATTGTTGCTGTGTGTTGCTGCAGCAGAAATAAGAACCTTTTGTTTACCTTCTTACTCTATTTTAGAGATAATTGCACTTAAATCATAGAATCATAGAATCATAGAATCATCTAGGTTGGAAAAGACCTTTAAGATCATCCAGTCCAACCATTAACCTACACTACCAAGCCCACTCTAGACTAATCAAGGGTAGACCAGACTAAACCATATCCCGAAGTGCCACATCTACCCGTTTTTTAAACGCCTCCAGGGATGGTGACTCCACCACCTCTCTGGGCAGCCTTGGTAGGCTTGGTATTTATACATTCCAATTGAGATATTTTATGAGATTTAGAAACTAGGTAATTCAAAAAGGAGTTTGAAACATCATCTATTTCATATTTTCATGTACCTGCAAAGTAGAAAAAACTTAGAAGTTTGAAAGTTCTGCTAAAGTGTTTTTGAGATGCTGACCTCCACAAAGCTTATTCTTATGTTGCCCTCTCCTTTCACTTATTGAAGAGTCTTTTGTGGTTTGGGTGGGTTTTTTTTAATTTTTTTTTTTTTTTAATTCTTGTTGGTACAAGAGAATGCTTGTCTGAATTTCCACAAGATGAAGAAATTGTTTTTCATTTTTTGAATCACTGCCTCCTTATTTTCACCAATTTCTAATTTCATTAAAAAGAATGAGTTTTCATCTCTCTTGCTTATATTTTTTAACTATTTCTAATGTTGTGAATTTTAATTATTTAATTACTTAATTAATTTCCATATTACTTTCTTTGCTTTGGAGTCATAATTCAATGACTTTTCTGTATCTCCTATAATATTTGCAATGAGTACTGGGAGATATGGATTTTTAATATAGATGGGTTTGAATCAAGTGATTAGCTTGCATGTAACATAATGTTGTGTGTATATGGCTTTCAAGGAAATGGGAACAAATTATCAAACTCATTTTCACCCAAGTAGGCAGTTTTGCAAGGGACAGTGTTTCACACTATATAAAAGTACAGAATGGGAAATGGTTGTTTAAAGGGCAATTTCAGAATTTATATCAGTGTATATCTTCAAGTTACTCTAACTTTGAAGGACAAGATATTGATTTGTGTGTCAAAAAACAGAGCAGGTGCTCATTTAGAAATGCTAAGACACACCCGGCAAGATCTCACTGGTCCTGTACAATGTATGAGGTAGCTGGAAAGACAGAGACAGTTACTCTGCAAAGCTGTTCTACCTTGTTAGTTTAGACAGTTTTGTAGCATGGTATTGGTTGAGTGCCACATCTCTGTGTTGCCACTTGTGTCTTTGCTTCCTGGTCACAGGTGCACTTACATTTTCCAATATTAAATCACTTGCAGAATGTAAACTGCAGAATGTAAATATTACAAATTGAATCCATTTTCTACCTCACACTCTTAAGAGGCCAGAAACCTACAATGTGTGAAATAGAGCACTCTTCATAACTAAAATGCAATTTTAAATCCTGCTGCAGATGTACAGAACAACAATGGTAGAGCACGTGGACTTCAATATTGCTCAGCATATATAGGGTTAACAGTATTGATGCTTTATTATCTATAAGCTTTCCCATCAATGCATTGCTAAGGTTTCTGGTAGAAAAAAAACGCCTGCATACTGTGCTATCAAAATGTTGTATTTTGTATTTGCACCTATTAAAAATGTCATGCCATGCCCTGATACAATGCTTTAAAACACACTTCAGAAAACACTGATTCTCAGTCTTTGAGGTGCTCATTGGTAAAAACATTTATATGGCGGAGATCTTTCAATTGGCTTACCAGAAGGCATTAGGGGCAGGAAAGAAAAAGGCCAAATGGAGAAGAGAGGTCATTATACAGAAGAAGAGTACAAATAGGAAATAAAAAATACCAAAAAGATGGGATGTTTGTGTAAACTACAGTATTTTATTTGACTGTAACAATGTTTTGATCTGAGATCCTGGTATGGTCACCATTTGAGTGATAAGGCACCAATTAACTGAATAATGTCAAACTAAGCTTCTACACAGCAAGTGTATGTGTCTGGGTGGATTCTCTTCTCAAACTCATTAGTCTGAGTTTGTAGGAATAGAGCTAGAAAAAGTTACTACATCTTATCTACCCATTGTGGTAGATTCAACATGTGCCTTGAAAAATATAATATATATTGTAGCAAAGGTTTCCAGAACCTTTACTCAGACCTCAGGAGTCAACCTGCATGGATTCAAACTTGTGCACAAGACCCAGTGTGGTCAATATTGCAGTATTACTAGATCACATCAGCTGTCTGCTGTTCTCAATAGCTTGCAACCCTAAACAGAGCTGTTCTGGAAGCACACCAACATTTACACAGAGAAGTGGCATTCATTTGTCAACATCCTAAAGAAGAAGAAATAGGGAGATTGCTCAGTGGCATGGAAAGGCAAAAGAGGGCAGGCAATGGCACATCAAGAACCACCAAAGAAGTGCACAACACAGAAGCAACCACAGAGATATTATCTCCCATTAACTTAGTTTATAGACCTAACTTATTTACAACTTATTAAATTTTCATTAAACCATGCACTCAGTTACTATGGTCTGTAAACTGCGATGAATTCTTGCTGTAGCAGATATACTCATTATGTACCAGCCTCCCTGTGTTCAGGCAAGTCCTGTACTTTTCCTGCTTATTTATCCCTAGCCTGTATGAATACTTGAATGGAGAGCTAAATCCAGAAGATCTTTCTTTTGATCCCCATGCACTGAACAGAGGATATACAATGAGATCATTGTTGTATTACACAGAAAGCTGCTTGGTGCTTAAGTAGTTCATCATTGGTGTTCTTCATAGCACTGGCCATAAGCATAAGAATGGGGATTAGGAATGATATAACTTCTACTGTAGCCACTAGATCATACTATTTAGTAGATCTACTGCAGACTTCCTAGCACAGCTTTTGTAAAGCAGTTCATTTCTGACCTCAGACATTTCTTGGCTTCGGTTCACAAGTTTAGAGCCTATCTTGAACAGAGTTTGGCAAACACATTAACCCTCTAGCCTCATTAATATAGCTTCAAATTTCTGTAAATATTCATATCCAATTAAAGAAGTGGTTTATAAAGTCCTCAGGGAACAATAATTTTAAAATTACCCTGTGTCAAATATTCTAGCAAAGATATTTATTTGCCCTTGGACAAATGTGAGAGACAGGTAACTGCCAGCTATTTTTTTCACAGAGTCAATACAGGTGGGGAACTACTTAGTGGATGCTTAATATAAACATTGTTGATCCAAAAAAGCAAAGGGTTCCATATTAAAAGGAAAGAAAAATGTAAGTTGTTTTACAGCAATCTGTTGACTTTTATAGGGTCATTCGAACAACTGGATACTTGCTGTTTATCTTGCACATTAATGCATGCCTGTATTATTGGGCTTCAGACTATGAAGGACTTGGCAGCACTAGATGGGTGTATGATGGCAAAGGAAACATGTAAGTACTTTTCTCTTGCAAAAGATTTTTGTTGGTTTTGTTCCTTACTGCATCCGCCTCCTTTTTCTATGCCTTTGCTTGCAGGGTATGCCCTTACTTTACAAGTGCTCGGATAGCAAACTCTTAGCACCATGACTGCTGATTAGCAGCTTTCAGTACTAACACATATTCAGAGGGCAGGTGCAGTGAATAATCAGTTTACCACTTTCAGCTTTTACAGGTTTATGAGTCAGTGCTAAGCACTAACTTAATTAAACATTTATAAAGCAACAAGGGCCATAAATTAAATTTGTTGATTGCATATGCACATGGGAACTGTTAGAAGGATTGCAGAACATCCCTCAAAGGAATCGGAGGCACTGATTTTTTTTCTGCCACACAGTACTGTGTCATTAAAATGCAACATTTTAGTCCCTCTAAACACCATGGTGACTGGTCTGAAAAAAATTCCACCCATTTTCTCTGATCTTTTAGGAAGGTCATGCTTAAACATGTGGCAGAGTGTCTCCAGTGGGAAGGACTGGATATTGGCACACTTTTCCACAAAATCTTTGTGACAGTAATAGGCTGGGTGCTAAGTAAGGGACATTCATTAAGATGATGGAGAGGAAGCAAGAAGAAATAGCAAAGTCATAATATATTTTGTGGGTAATTATATAAAAGCATAGCTAGTAGGTTCAGATGTATGAACATTCATTTCTTTCAAAGGCCATAATATAGTTAAAGCCACAGAAGCTCAATTTGTTCATTAATTACATTATTTGCAAACCCACATATAATATACTACTGCTGTCATAAATCACCCTTTAAACAACTTTTCGCGTTTCTCTTACAGACATGCTCCTCTTGCTTGTAATTTTGTCAGACTTCACGAGTTTGGTGTGAAGTCACTATCTTGAAGGGTAAGAAAATAGCCTTTCAGAGTAAAACACACTTTCTGTAAAGCAGCCTTGTTTTTTTATAATTCCAGTTCTCTCAAAAAAACCCCGACATGCTGAAATTTCCACACACCACTAAAATACACAGCTTGAGTACTGCAGTCAGACACATGCAGGCAGGCTCATGTAGCTCAGTGGGACCACTTATGTAAGTGAAGTTATACACAGGTATTTATTCACAGGATCAAGGCTTCCAGAAATCTGACAAGAAAAATGCAGAACAAATTTCCATTTATAGCTATTTTTGTTAATGTCATTCTTGGGAATACTTGCCTCATAATTAAAAAATAAGGTAACTAAGACTGAGCAACTTGAAAACTCTGAAAGTAGAGCACTTTCTCAGTCTTCAAGTTTATAATGTTTCTTCAGAACAGCCTAGAGAACAGGCAAGAAAGTCTTCCCTTTTTTCACAGGCAAGAATATTTTACATTTCACTCAGGGAAACAATTGGTAGAAATTATTTGCTAGCTTGATCACAGACAATGCAGTTCTGCCCAGAGGCAATGGGCAGGTTTTTTAATATTTTGTGATACCTTTTCCATGAGGAGACAAAAACACTTCTCAAATGATGACACACTGAAATCACATGGGATTTAGGGCAAATTTTTTTACAAACAATAATAAACTGATAAGTCAAGGTCTGCATTAAACTGAGATGCTGAAATAAAATGCATATTAGAATACATCCGTGTAAGCCTCATTAAGCCATTAATCTACCTCATCTTGACATTGGTTGGTGATTGTATGAGTTTGTTCTTTTGCCTGTATCTAACCCATACTGGATTATATGGTCTCTTGTACATGGAACCCCAAAGAGTAACCCATGTTGAGCTGCATTTCATAAAGTATAGCTTGCTACCCCACTAACAGCAAATGCCTTCTGTATGGGATAGTCATTGCCTTAGAGAATCAGGCATGATGTATTATCTGATTGTCAAATATTTGGGATTTTTTGACAGAGAGGCATTGTGTGAACATTAGGTATTATTGCAGATGCAATGTAAATTTAAACATATCAGACAAGATACTTCTAGGTATATTCATTTCTCTGGAAAGCAGGAATTAAGAACAATCCAGGAAAAAAATCTGTCAGTAAGAGTGACCAGAACTGCAGTATAGCACAACAGTGCAGATGTAATTTCCTTTCACACAGCAGTGAGAGTTGCCAATATTTGAAGCCAAATATGCCATTGGTCTCACATAGAATGGGAACACATTCAGAAAGAAGATAAGACAAATGTAGCTTCTTAGCTAATTAAAAAAAAAATGACAGCAAGCAGTTTGACAAATAAATCAAAGTACTAGTGGGCTCAGATTACAGCAACCCAAAGCAAATGATCTGGCACTGATTTAGTGGCATGAATTTTTTATGTAGAATCCCTGCTGTGTCCATAAAATGTTGCTAGTTATGGCCAAAATCAGTTCTTAAAAACGTCAACACTTCTAGGAACTTGGTTTTTTTCCTTTCCAGGCTGAAAAGAATACACAGACAACAGTTTCCCTTATCGATTTGATTATATATATGTTTCTGAGCAGGCATACTAACTGGTGAACTTCAATTTATAACTAACAGCTCTACACAGCACTCAAACCACAAGCAAAATTACCAAAGTAGCTCTTTTTGCAAATTTCTGCTAGCTGTATTCTTTTCCAGCTCGTGTCCAGACTCTAAAGTGTTAGTGCCAGTCCAAGAAGATTTGAGGTCTTTTGCATGGCAGCCTTCAATCAAGGCCTTTGACCTGAGGTGCAAAAGGCAGTCAACCTTAACCCCCTGCAATGCACCCAAATCAGCCACACAAAATGCTCCCAGCATTAAAACTGCGCTCATGAGCTTCGTATAATTAGGCACAGACCTCAGTCTCTCCTAATGCAGAAGGATAGCATCCCTCATGCAACACTGTAGTGTAGAGCCTATGTAACCACAGCAGCAGGATACTGAAAAGGTCTCTTAATTATAGCTAAGCGAACAATTTGAACTCTATGTGTTTATTTACAATCTAACTTAACTACTTAAGTAAGAGATCAATCTCCTTAATTCCTCAGGAAAATGGACAAATCCTCTAGAAAGGGATTCAAGGCAGGAACATGATGTCATTTTTCTGAATTGTCCCATGGAAGTATCTGTCTCTCATCACTGTCCATAGAGGAAACTAAAACTAGGAAGCTGAAATTCCCATGCAAACCCCCCAGGTCAGCATTGAATTTAGGCAAAACAAATTATTCCACTTTGTTCATGGTGTGCTGTTTTGCAAGTCATCCACACGTAGTTTGCAAAATTCTCCAGCATATTTATTAATCAAGACATCTATTTGCATCCTGATGATGTTTCTGTATAGCTTGCTGCCTTCCTGCTCTGGGCACGGACTTAGCAGATATCTGGAAGTCCCAGAAAATGGTCACTGTACGTGTCTAGAACAACTCTACTTCTTTGGTATGCATTGCCCCATATGCAGTAAGACTGGCATATCTTAAAAGGTTTCTTGCGGATATCAGCTATACATTGCACTTGCAACAGGTCTGATGCGTCCACTAACAGTGCTTGCTATACGGAGGCAGTTTTGTGCCTCCGGACAATCTGTGAATGCACAGCCCAACTCAAGTATGTCAGACCTAATGCTTTCAGACCTGATACTTGCAGCCATACTTTTTAGATGAAAGCTTTGTAGTTTACACAATCCTGCCTGATCATCATACCCACAGCCACCTGATGAATAAGTCACTCAAGAAAAAGAGGTACTAAGAAGGAGGTCATTAGAGTATGAGTTTATAAAGGCCACTTCTTTACTCTGCTTAAGATTTGATTTACCTGTATTAACCAAAACCATGTAAGAAGTTTAGCGTATACTTGAATATTACTTGAATACTTACATATTACTTGAATACCTACATATTACTTGAAATGGACTTTTATGAAAAAGATATTTCTATTGGCATAATATTACAAGGTATCTTATTTGCAGTGTTTCTGAATGTTTTCACACCTAGGACTTATTTTAGGGAAAAATCTAGTAGTTTGATTGCCTGAAGGATAAACATACCCTCTATGTTGTGTAGAGGGAAAATCCCTTTCTCATCTCACGTTGTTTGCTTCAACAGTAATGTTATAGCAGGCTAGTAAGCCATATGGTGAGCAATGGTGGTTTCCAGACACTAGTTAGTAGGAAGCAGAGCTGCTAATACTGTTGAAATAGGAGTCTGTTTTTTCTGGCTTTCCGTAAACAAGATTTACAATCCCATTTCTCCCCTTCTTAGGGAAAAAAAGCCGCTTTATATTTCAACTGTGTAACTTTCATTTCAGATTAAAATTAAAACAATAAAATGCGTAAATGGAGAAAATATAAAACCTGTGCTTAAAAGATAGTGAATATCATGTGACTTTGCCAGTAGAAAGTTTCTTTTGAAGTAAAATTACAGAAGAATATACTGTATTAACTACATCTTCAGAAAGGGGTGGGCAGATCTGAAAAAAATCTCTTACATTTTGGATATGCAACAATGCAAAGAAGAATGTGACCCCTAAATTCCTTTGAGGAGCTGCTTTCATTCTTTGTAGACATTCCCAGAATGAGGATTATATTGTCTATCATGGTGGACTTAGCAAGCTTGGCATTCAAGGCCATTGGGGGAGAGGGACTTGGTTAATTACCTTCACTCCCTGTAGTAACTAGCACAGAAGTAATGTTAATTTCTTTACTTTTATATTCATAAATTAAACATATTTCAAGCACTACAGCATTCTCAGTTATGGCAAATGAATATGATATTAATATGCTTTATATGATAATTCCCCTCAGACAAGCTAGAGACATCATTTTATGCTTTAATCTGCAATTCTTCCAAAACAGATCTAAGGCCTTTTCTTACTATTTATATATGCTACAAAAGTTTAAAAGAAAGTTGCCACTTATGCATACTTTGCTGGAAGCATGCATAGGTGATGATTTTTTTTGAACCCAAGTGAAAATATTACAGTGGTGTAATCCAGCTGTTCATTTTGCACCCCTAACAAAGGAAAATGATATGATGGCAGATATGCCATGAATTTTTAGACTTAAGGACTCTGAATGAAAAGAGACAGCTCCAGCTGTTAAAATCTAAAACTAGAAAACTATGGTAAAATCATCATTGTTACTGCATTTCATTTATCTGCAACCAAGAAAAAAGTGACTTTGTAATGAAAACCAAAAATCAATTGCTTGGTAAAGCCTGACATTTTAGGTGAAAGACTTGGAAACACTTTTGAGTGATTAAATAAAAACCCTCATTGGAATTGGTTGTTACTGTGAGTTTATTTTCTCATATTTGCACAAAACTGACCCTCCAATTGTATTGTTACATGGACAGTACTTATTAATAGGAGTGGAATTCATATCTTAATAAGAGAGGAGTTTAAAAGTGGAGAACACCAAATTAAAATGTACATCTGAAGTCTGCAAGCAGATCAGGTGGCCTCAGATTCAGGGTAGGCACGAGAAGATGCATGCAAGACTATTTCAAAACAAACATCTCCAAAATTATTTCTTCTGTGGTTTTTTTTTTTAATTTCAAACTCAATAAAATTCAATAAATAGAGGAATCTGCATTGCTTCAGAAGCAATAGTCATAGATGAAATAATAGAAAATCTCACTGTACAATTAAGGAAAAGAAACTTCCACTCCTCATCATTAGCAAAGCTGAAGCCTGATCGTACAGAGACTTATGAAGTCAAATTCTAACTAATAGGGGGCTTTTAAAAATATTCCTAAACCAATTACTTGTTAGCTCAGAAAAGAAGGGAATGATAGCATATTCATGACAATTACTTGAACTAATTAATCCCAGCTGCACAGTATGGGGGATGCTGTGTTAATAGAGGTGCCATGTTCTAGAACAAAATTTAAAACAGAAGCTTAGAGACATCAAGGCGCTTCATATATATACATAAAAGACTATCCTCAAAAAATAAAAAAAAATATTTCTGTCTAGGTCATTTGTTGTTTTCATAAACTTGTGTTACCATACTAATAGAAATACACTTGAATGCAATGGGCTCAAGGCTTCTGTACAAAGAGGGTTGTACAAAAAGAACAAAAAGCCTTTGGCCAAAGAACTCATGATTCAGGTATGAGAAGTAAGAGACCGCAGATGGATACAGGGAAGAAGTCAATATAAGCCATATGTTGAAGCAGAGTCTTAGTGACTGACCATTGCACACTGCTATATTTGGCTTCTAGATAAAGAGTTCTGAGAAAAGTCTTCAAGGGTGTTAACGTTGTGGTTTTGTAGCCTTTGATGGACAGCTCTTCCCAGGCATGAGGGAAAGTAGTGAAGAAGGCAAGAAAGTGCTTGTTAAGGTGATAGAAGGGATAATGGAGGCCAGCCACTAGGAGAAGTTAATGCAGGAGTCAACCTTTCTGTGCTGAATAAGTGAAGTGGCTTGGAGAAGCTGGATTAACATTCAGATTGTGGAAACATGTAACTTCCGTTTGACATAGAATCATAGAATCATAGAACCGTTTAGGTTGGAAAAGACCTTTAAGATCATCCAGTCCAACCATTAACCTACACTACCAAGTCCACACTAAACCAATCAAGGGTAGACAAGACTAAACCATGTCCCAAAGTGCCACATCTACCCGTTTTTTGAACACTTCCAGGGATGGGGACTCCACCACCTCTCTGGGAAGCCGCTTCCAATTCTTGACCACCCTTTCCGTAAAGAAATTTTTCCTAATTTCCAACCTAAACCTCCCCTGGTGCAGCTTTAGCTCATTTCCTCTCGTCCTATCACTAACTACTTGGGAGAAGAGACCAACACCCACCTCACTACAACCTCCTTTCAGGTAGTTGTAGAGAGTGATAAGGTCTCCCCTCAGCCTCCTATTCTCTAAGCTAAACAGTCCCAGTTCCCTCAAAACCCAGGAGGCAGAGCCAATGAAGGATGCTCAGTACCAGAGCAGAAGGAAGACCAACATGGTTAAAGGGGTAGGAAAATGAATGGGCACGAGAAGGACAACACTGCATTTCGTGCCCACCATAAGGCTTCACACTGGTGTCATCAAGCGAAGCCATGGAAGAGACCTTCAGATGTGTGTGCATCTGGTATGCCACAGATAAACTCTGGGAAGTCTCTAACACTTTTACAGTGCTTTTAATGTCACGGCATCTTCACTGGTAGCGTTCTAATGCTGTAATGGCCACCTTGGCAATTTATTACAGAAGTCTTCTGTAATGCTGCATAGAGTTACTGGAGAACAGTAAATAACTGCTGCATTTCCCATATATTCTTACTTTGCTGCCAGTGAGAACATTCAACTCAATATGATTTATATAACTGCATCATTTGTAAAATCATAACCCTTTATAAAAAATGCTGAAGGTCTTTTGGACTGAAAGGCATCACTGAAAGGCCCAGCTCAGGAAGGTATATGCTTAACTTCAACCACGTAAGTATCTGTAGTCAATAACAAAAATGCTGTCTGTATCCACAGGTATCTGAGGTGTTACTACTGGGCGGTTCGTACTTTAATCACCATCGGTGGCCTTCCAGAACCACAAACCCTGTTTGAGATAGTTTTTCAACTGCTGAATTTTTTCTTGGGTGTCTTTGTCTTCTCCAGCTTAATTGGTCAGGTACATCAAGAAATCAATAACTAGATACATTCAAATTACTGTAATGTAGTGATAATATATTCAATTTAATGAAGTTTAGCTCTGGGAAAAAGTTTAGCTTCCATCTGAATGTCCCTCTAACTATCATCCATACTTATTCTTCTGACAAATACGTGTGTTTAATCAGTTCCCAGTTTTGTAGCCCTTTTGCAAAAAGTTGATTTAAAGCCAAGACTCTACAGGACATGGATGATTCTTGAAACTATGTATAATTCTTTTTTAATTCCTCACAGCCAAGGAGACAGTTCCTTAACATTCACACCATACTGTTAAATCTGATATAAAATTTATAATTGTAGGTATGATATTAATATGTACAAGTTATTGAATAAGTCATGCTCAATATTACTGTCAATAGAATGCTGTTAATGGAAATCCCATGATTTTTGTCAAACTAGAATTCTGCTCTCTTCCATAAATTACAATATTATCTGTTAACCTGCGAATTAACTGTTTTCTATTTCTCTTGGTTCTCATTTGGCAGGAGTCAAAAAAAAAAGCCCATAGCACAGAAAATCAGTTATATTTCCAAATGAATATAACTGAAATATTTCTGGCTTGTAACTACTAAACTTGGGCTTTAGAGCCATAGGTTTTAACATACCTTGCCTACAGAAAAACAAATGCCATGGTTCCTATTTAAGACTGCATCTTTTCGGATTCCTGTAGAAATCGTTCCAGACCTTTTGATTTGTATGTCTGTTATTGGAAGAATTATTAAGAAAAAATAAACCTGAAATTTAATTTTTGTTTTGAATACAGGATTTGAAAAGTTCAATCAGTTAAAAATTGCATGTCTCTTGCTGTTTAGAAGTGCAAAAAGAGATAATCATCACAAAACAGACTCTTGCCTATAGGATTTAAAATTCATCCACAAACAAGAATTACCAAAAATAAAACAAAGCAGTTCATATAAAATATTTCTTCTGGAAAACTACCGAATTCAAGTATATTGGAACAAACTTCAAAGATTGTATATTTATAATTTTTTCCTAAATTGATATAGCTGTCAATGAAAGCACCATTCCCCAAGAAGATTCTGCAGATTAGTTTTGTAACCAGTATAGCCATTTGCAGACTCAAACCTTAAATCTTAACACATAAACAGCTTCATTGCAGTTTGTTATAATTCCTGTTTACAAGGAGCTCTTAAAATTACTGAGTTATTCCTGGTTTAGCACACTTGCCCAAAAATAGTTATTCCTACTGTAATCAATTGCATCTTTGTAATAAAGAGCAAAATTCAGCCCACCAGCACACTAATCCTTGGCCACTGCAACATGAAGCCATTAGACTAAAACCATGTCTATATAGTTATGCTTTTGAAGAAGGAATATCTTTTAACATTAACTCATCCACTTTCTAAAAACTAAATTACATTTGTATTGGACTGTTAAATGATGTTCCTGCACTAAAATCTTCAAGGACAACTTTCAGCCCAAAGTGCATTTTTAGGACTGATCTAGATTCACTTAACTATTTAAACACTGGCAGGATCTTAATTCTAGTAGTGTCAGTTGATGTTATTAGAGAAATTTAGCCCAGTTTGCTTCACTTCTGACTTGCATTGCACACTAAAGGCAGAGTAGCTTTATTATGGATTTTTAAGGAAAGCATTATTTATATTTTTCATCCATGTCCAGAAATATGAGACAGAAGAATAAGCTAAAACCCACAAATGATTCCTTTAAAATCGTAAATATAGACTTTCCAACACAATTAAATTAAATCTGTAATGCTTCTGAAAAGGTAGATGAATCACCTATTCAAAACATGCAACTGAATGTATAATTAATGATTTTGCAAACAAGTGGTTTATTCTTTTTATACATTGTTGACAAGATATTCAAATCAAGACTATTTTTGCTGAAATGTGTAGTAACAACAACTGATGTTTGCAGATGAGAGATGTAATTGGAGCAGCTACAGCAGGACAGAATTACTACCGTTCCTCTATGGACAACACTGTCTCCTATATGAACACTTATTCTATTCCAAAAGTGGTCCAAAATCGTGTTCGAACCTGGTATGAATATACATGGGATTCTCAGGGAATGCTGGGTAAGGCTTTCCATTTCCAGTTACATAGCAACTCCAGGTGAGAGTGGTTGTATAGATACAGATAGAGGGTGAAATTCACATTTCTTCTTTTCTGAATTGCATGTGAGAAGTGAGGAGGGTATTCAATCTACTTTAGAAAAGAAAAAAACTCCAAGGCAATATGACAGTATTTCACAAAGTCTATTAATCTATATAATGTTCTGGATATAACTTTAGACAGGATATGTAACTTAAATATCTTATGTGTCTTAGTAAAAGCATGTTAGCAGCTCCCTCATCTGAGCTCATAAATGCTAAAATAGCTCCATTAAGTTATTTTTCTGTACAATGCTCATTTTTATGGACATTCTTTCACTCTTCCTTTCTGTTTTCTAGCTAACAGAGTTTGGATTTGTTCTTTTTTTCTTTTACAGATGAATCGGAATTACTGGAGCAGATGCCAACCAAAATGCAATTAGCCATTGCAATTGATGTGAACTTCGCCATTGTCAATAAAGTTGACTTATTCAAAGCAAGTAGTTTTACAGGACAATGCAGAAATGTGTGGTATTCCTGAGGCAGAAACCTCGTTTTGTGTCTTGTAACACTTAAGAACATATTTGTTAATATGCAAGGCAAAATAGGTCTAAGAAATATTTCAGCCAATGGAGACATGTCAGGACAAAGCCAAGTGCCTGCCTTTGAATTTTTTTGTGTCAAAGCAGAGATTAAAAAAAAAAGCAAATGAGATTAAGACACAGTCCCGTTGTATTGACATATTAAAGCTGATGTTATGGTCAGATTCTAAGTGATTTCAGAGTATAACTAATGTCAAGAGTAGACATAGAAGAATGTAATTTTTAATACATTTCACCTTGCCTTGCTGTATACAACATAGCACTGCCTGAGAGATCACTAACGTATGTGTACTGGCAACATAACTTCAATGTAGTGAATGCTACTTTTTAGTAATTTTTTGTGCAAGGGAGCTTTCTCTTCATTATCATGATAATTTTCCAGAGATGCAATTTAAATATGGTACTTAACATTGGATTTTTCACAACAAAACCAAGGAGACACTGCATTTTTAGAAGTATTCTCGACACACAGTAACCTTACCACTAATTTGTTTGTTAGAGTAATTGCAAAAAAAATCACATGATATAACTTATAAACATTACATACCTTCATGGTTTCTGTCGCATTTGCTGAAGACATGGAATTCATAGGTTCGTACCAACATTTGACATGAACTGTTGTTTTGGTTTTTTTTTTCCCCCTGGGTCAGGAAAAACAAAAATCACTTGAGACACCCATAAAGCTGTGAATGTAGCACTAACAGAGCTTCCACACCAAATTTAGAGGTACAGAAGCTTACTTCGTAAAAAGGTGATGTTCAACCTAAAGGGAACTTTCTAAGCTTTTGAAATGGCAGGTCTTTCAGTCTTTTCTTTGCTCTAAAAGCTGATCCTTATGATGTTTTGAGTTTGCATTCCACTTACGAATCCCTGGATTGTTCATGTGTTGTTGGGTTTTGCTGCCCAGCGTAAGCACTAATAATCACTTGTGTTACTGAATTAATAGAGCAATCAATTCTAACTATTTTAACAGGGGTGCGATACCCAGATGATATATGACATGCTGCTAAGGTTGAAATCCATTGTGTATTTACCTGGTGACTTTGTCTGCAAAAAGGTGAGCATTGTTGTGTCTTTCAAATAATAATTGTAGTAGGTATTTTAGAAAAAGAGTTCAGATATCAGTCAACAGTGTCCTTTAAATACAATTAATCCTGAGTGAATTAGATAGCATAAAAGTAATTAAGGTACTCTGTGTAATAATAACAAACGTGCTCTCAAGTTTCAACCTACAAGAAGACAATATGGATTTTATTACTTACATTACCAAACATAAAATTATAGTAATATGGGAAAGTACTTAATGAAAATACATCTTATCTAATGATACATCATGAAGTTTTAATATTTAAAATGGACTAAGCTTAATTTTTTTATACATATATACATACAAACCTAACCTGCAGGTCTCAATCTATGATGCTTTGCATGTGCTTCATTTGTGTATTCAGAAACCCTTAAGTGGAGTTATCCAAGAATGGAGACAATACACTGCATCCCATACTGCTCCTTACAGCAGGATCTGATCTTGCTTTTACTCACAGCTCTGAGCCATCTCCAGACTTTCAGCTGAATGCTGTTACACTGTCCCTTAGCAAAGATATCTACCTTCTCTCAGCATTTTGGCTCAAATATGGCCTGATATTAACACACATAGATAGCTCAGCTTCTGACCAAGTGAACCCAAGTCTCTTTTCAAAAGGCATGTAAACATACAGGCAGTGTCGGATGTAATTAAAGCATGGGGGAGGGTTAAGTATCAGTACTATTACTGTCCTGTTATGACCCACAGTTCATGCCACACCCAGAAGTGACCATCAGAACCCCATAACTTGTCTTTAGCAGTTCTGGTCCAGGATCTTCACTAAGGTCCTGCTCCCTCCAAGAGTTAAGCATATGATCCTCTTCCTGAATGCTGAGCTAGTCCCACTGACTCCACAGTGTGGGAAGTTAAACATTTGTGAATGCACTGAAGGATCGGCTGTGTCCCTTCAAAGACCAATCCCAGAATTAGTGTTGGCTAGGAAGGGTGGAAGAGTAGTTTGGTGCGTTTGCTTGTACAATGCACAGCATGAAAGGATCTTAGACTGCGGCTGGGACTCTGCCACAACACTGGTAATAAATGACAGTAACAGATTCAAGGTCTTGATCCTGCAGTCAGGTGCAAACACTTCTCCAAAAGGATGGATTACAAGAAATGGAAGCATCATTTTATTCCAGCTTGATTCAGAGCTAAAAGGCTGTTCACTTGTATAGATCTACTATGTGGCCAACAACCACAGTAATCCTATTAATGCTGTAACAGGTAGTAGGGAGTAAACCCCTGCTGGGACTACCTCCTCCTTGGTTGTACGTTGGCCTCATCGTACTTTACCAAGGAGGCTCTGACATGCAGGCTTGGAGGCACAAGTGAAGGGGTAGGAAGTGCAAGCCCTATGTTTTCAGTTCTGGCTTTGTTGCTGTTGCCTTTTCACTTTTAAAATGAAATTGCTGCTTTGCCTCAGTTATTCCAGCTGCACGTGTAGAAAAATATTTATTTGCCTGTCTTATTGAGATGTTGTGAGGACTGTTATAATCATGTGTGAAGCCCATTATATTACTCCAGTTTCCCTGCTTTTTACTGTATACACTGATGTCATGCTTTGAATCCTAGTAGATCCTGTGAAGGATAATAAATAAATTAATAATCTCTTAAACCATCCAGTGATCACATGAAAGTTGATGGAAATGACTGCTACTATCCTGATTATTATCTAGTCTCCTTTTTCCAGCCTGGCCTAGATGGTCGTACTCCTGTTCAAATATTGTTCCACATCACAATCGGATCTGCCAAAGACAGTCCTTGTGCTTGTGATCGGTGCTAGGAAAAGTAGTGCAAACATTTATTTCTCCATTATGCCAGTAAACCTGTTTATGAGAAAGTGGAAAGATACTTAAAGAATAGTTTGTCAGATTATTCTAACAAAAACCACTGCCCTGCTAAAACATGTGATCTTTATGTGTTTTTGTGCCCAGGGAGAGATTGGCAGAGAGATGTACATCATTAAACAGGGTGAAGTTCAAGTCCTTGGAGGCCCTGATGGTACAAAAGTCCTGGTTACACTAAGAGCAGGAGCTGTATTTGGGGAGATCAGGTAGGTCCATCGCTATTAACACTTTCTTTAGAACTGGTCAAATAATCAATGGTTGTTTAATTTCTCTGTGGTAAGCATGACAGCTATCACGGGGAGGCTGGAAAATTGGTAGGATCAACCAAGATGACACTGAGCAAGGAGATGAAGGTAAATGAAGGAAAATCTAAGGGAAACATCAGAGACTAATCTGGCAAAATCTGAGACCACTGTTTTGGGCAATCTACACAGTGATATACAGACAGATTTCTCCTTCAGCATTTAAAAGATTTAACACATCTTCCTGTTCTGAGGTCTGCAATACAGCAGGACCAAATGTATTTTATTGCCTGTATAGTGAGACTAGGTGCCCTTACACAGCAGATGGTAAAAATGATAACTAATTTCCAACAAAGGAGATAAAAAACATAGAATAGCAAATAAGCTTGGTTCATTTAGGAGCTGAAGTAGGGATTAAGTTGCCAAAAATCAGGCATCCACATTTGAAAATGTATTTGTTCAAGAGCATACAAAACAAGAAAAAGGCTGACAGACCAGATTTTTGGGTATGAGTTTATCTGGAGGAGAAAATTTTTCTCAGGTGGTTACAAATGTTTTTTATATTCTCCCTGTGGTTACTATGCAAAATCCATTAACTCTTATGGGCCATGTTCCCCAATTAGCCAATCAAGTGCTAGATTTTAGGCACTGCATCCCCTGCTGAGGTTGGCCTGAGGAAAAGTAACAAAATACATGTGCTGCTGCATGTGATAAACTGGATCCTTGATTTCTTCCAGCTGCCTTCCTGTTATTGTTAATCCTCTTGCCGGTAGCTTTAATCTGCCTTTTGAAAAGCGATAATCAGCTCTGTGCCAGGTTTACATTTATCTTCTACTTGTGTCTCCCTTTGTGGTAGAGGAAACATTCCCGTTTATCCAGTGACGATCCAGAACTTGCTTAGACCTCAGGTGGAAAACACCTGATATATCCCATAGATACAGACCTTTTTTCATTGAGTGGGAAAGTGAAATTATATCAGCTCTTTGAGAGAAGGTTATTTGAAAGGTATTTCTCTGTGTGACAACATAATACCTGAACAAAGCCCCAAAACAAAATGCTGTACTGTAAATTATGTGGAAAGGCTGAGGATGCACTGGTTTTCAGTAAGGGCTGAATAATGAAAAGATAAAAGAAAAAGCTACAGCAGCCCAGATATGTAACACGCACATAGTTGTCAATTATTTATTAGTCTTCTACTTGGAGCAAGGACTTTTTTTAAACTGAGAAATGATAATGATTGGTTTTAAAACAAGGAAGGGATTTTCAAACTTTTGATCTAATACAGGTGAGCACTTGTTTCCACATGAGAACTATGCAATGGCCTTTAAAGTTTCACTTCCCAGTATGTGTAAGTCTCCACTTCATTGCCAATATGGCCAGTAAACCCCTCAGCAATGCTATAATCCTACACTTCTAGTCTTGTTTTATTCATCATTGACCTACTGCGGCAGCACACCAGTTCAGACATGTGTAATTTGCATATAAATGACAGGCAGTGGATAAACTCAAGGCAAAAATACACAGCAACTGGCAGACATCTCCAAAATTGAAGAAAAGCAAAGACATGAAGCGCTAAGTGTATCGGTAGAGATTTATCCTCTTCCTTGTGGCAAAGTGTTAGAAAATAATGAGTTTGTATAGTGCCTTTCTATGTAAGTTTTGTCAAGGTCTTCTGAATACTGTATAGCAGAAGAAAATGAAAAAATATTCTTTAATGGATTAAATATTGCTTCATTTAGCACATCCAAGTATTCTCTTCAGTATTCATAGCGTGGTTATCACCTGATATCAGACTGATTTCCTTCTGATTTCTGATTCAAGATTCGTCTAGAGAAATATGTCAGCTTCATTCCGAATGGTTTAACTACATGATTTATAAGACACTTGCTATTTAATTTCACTCTGTTCAAAATGCATGTAAATGATGCTTAAAAAGTCTCTGAGGGTAAAGGAGTTGAGAAAACAAAAAACGTTTATCTCAGAAAATTTCCCTGAATTATACTAGAAGGCCAATGCAAGACTAATGTCAAACAAGTCCTTTGCCAACTTCATCCTTGAAAATTATTACAGAAACAGATTAAGTAATAGGAGTTGCCTTCCAATTAACATCTTGCCCTCATTACTACTTTGCCGGATAGACAATATCAGTTTGGGGAAGCAAAATAATCTCAGAATCAGAGGCAAACAGATTGCTGCCTTAATGAGAGCCTGTCTGCACAGACAATTGAGAAAGAGAGAAATTCAACTATAACACAACACTTCATTAGCCCACAGAAATTTACACTTTAAGCCAGATGTCCTCATTCATCCATTTACTGTTATTTCACTAGAACAATTTCCTATCAGAAAATGGTAATTCTGGAAAAATTAAAATATTTCTCCATTATATGTAAATTTTTTGACAGGAAGATCTCTAAATGTTTGGTCTCAGCTTTAGCCTTTCAGCTGGTTTGTAACTTTAACTTTTATTTTAAAAAAATCAAAATTAAAGGGAGTATTTAGCTTCATGAAAGATTATACTTACCACTTTGGCCCAGGATTTCCCACAAAGTGGCAGCTGCTGCTTTTCAATGAGCTCTGCCCCTTGGTGTTTGACATTCTGCTCAAAAGCAAGATCCAGACCTACTTCCCTTTCCTGACTTACCAGTTCTCTTCATAAGCACATAAGCGCCGAGCTGAGCCAACACAACCCTGCACATTCAGCTGATATGCATGCCATTCCCTGGATCAATTTGCTAATTTCAATGAACAGCAGCTTTCTACAGAGATCAGTTAAAAATTATCATCTCATACTAATATTAAAGCATTTCAGGCTAACAACTGGAGTAAAAAATGTAAGGTAAAAAAAAGCAAATTTCTCTATTAATATAGATATTACATTATGAAGAACCATTTCAGGGCAAATGTAGCTATTTTTAAAAATTTGGTCTATCATGTAACAGCACACTAGCTAAAACAGATTCAGTGATGAAGTCCATAACGCTGTCCTTAGTCAAGGATGATTCTGTTTGAGCAAGGGCTGCCTTACTTGTAAAATTCACCTCACATCATCACCATAATGAAAAAGTTGATCTCTTTAGTCCTAGTCTGCTTCAATAAAATGAGCTTTCTGTTAGGAAAGCCTGAAAATGATTGTTCAATGACTTGTTGAGAAGTGATTCATCAGAACTCAGAAGCTGTTCGCAATTTTCTTTAGTTGCTTTTCTTATTGTCCAAATAGTTTTATTCTAACTGTACAGAATTGTTCAAAAAGAAGACGATATACTGCATTTTCAGCTTGAGTTCATATGTTGATTGCTATCCTGGGTTGCAGAAAAACACTCTGTGTGTGTGTGTGCGCGCGTGCATGTGTGTGTAAAAATGTACGCACAGCTGCAGAGGTCTCATACTATCCTTTATAAGTCAAATACAATATATTATCTGTATGATCTAATGTTTATAAATATTTTCTATAAATACATTTAATATTAAAACCAATATTCCTATATCCTTGATTAATATTTTGGATAAGTATTAATTCATGTTTTATGGGGTCCAGATCATATTAATAACTTCTAAATTTAGAGATTACTAAATATTCTCTAAAAATATTAACTCACTGGGAAATATTTAAGGGACAAATTTTAGGGTAGATCTCCTTGAATACAGTGATAAAGCAATTTTAGTACTAAGAGCAAAATGCAACTTTCCTTTCTTATCACCACAGCTGAGAAGTGAAGTATCTTCATTTCATTTGCTTAATGCAATATGAACAATTTAATTTGTACATCTAATTTTTATGTGGATATCCTTCCTATGGCCAACTGCTGCTTGTTAAACTGGTCTAATGCCTTTCTTTCCAAACAAAATAGCCTTCTTTTTCTGGCAGACACTTTTGTAACTGCCAGCCTTAAAGACCTTCCTAATCCATATCATGCAACTTGCTAACCTTCAAATGTGAGATGTGGCATGTGAGAAAACTGAAAACCAGAGTCCCACAGAAGTTATTCATTCAGGAAAATTAAAATTCTTGGAGAGTAATTCATTCATTGTAAATAACTCTTTCAATAATAATGGACTTGTGCTGCTCTACTTCTGATGTAAATAATTTTCAACAGTAAAATTGAGGAAATGCCGAGTTCACATGAGGGCTAAAACAAATGCAGTCCTTGCAGTGGATGTCTCTTGGGAGAAATGTCTCTATCTAGCAAGACTTTTCACAGTCCTTAGCATCTACATATGCCTGACCAGCAGTGACAATTTGCCTTCCTGAGGCAAGAAGATATTTCTAATCCCACCTGCAAACGGGACTTCACAGGACATCAGATAGAACAGTTGGGCACATAAGTGAGCTTTACGATGACTTTAATGCAGAGCCACCAGTGAAGAGTTTCCTCACTAAGGCAAGTAAGGATGTGACTAATGAGTTTATTTTCATTCCAGCCTATTAGCTGCAGGCGGAGGAAATCGAAGGACTGCCAACGTGGTGGCTCATGGTTTTGCTAACCTTTTCATTCTGGACAAGAAAACACTCAATGAAATCTTGGTGCACTACCCTGACTCAGAAAAACTTCTCATGAAGAAAGCAAAGTATGTCCTAACAGTTTTTAAATCACATTATTTACCTGCTGAATGGAAAGTTGTGGCTTCTAGACAGATCCGCATTCCTTTCTTGGAAGAGTAACAGATGTAAACACATTTGTATTTAGAGGTCAGATTTGCCTGGTAGTACCTAGTGGAAGTCATGGTCTTGGCAGGGCTTCCAAGGGTTGTGGAAATGTGGTAAAGTAGAATGAAGTCTTGAATGTAGTTGCCTTCTCCGTTGTATTTAAGGTAACAAAACAAATAGGAGATACAGATGCATACCAGGATTCCTTACATAGTCAAGAAATAAACTGGAGGACAGATGTCAGTTAAGGAGTAGGTTTTCAAAGATGCAACCGAACACTCGCAATTAATTCTACAGAGATGCAATCTTCAATGTACCCACAGACTGATATGCATTTCCAAAACCTTAAGCAGTAGTTAGGAATGGATTTAAAGTAAGGCCCGACAAGATGGAAGTACACAGATTAGAGAGGTGTGCATTTTGTTCAAAAGGATTCTAAAATGGGATTTCAAACCCAAACTGCTTTTCATCTTGCTTTGGCTGTAGCTTGCTAGGATCACCATTTCCCCAGTTTTGAAAGGGCAAAATACTGTAAAATTTGGCATAAAATTGTGACAAAATTAGTACCTTGCTACCTTGTAAAAGGTCCAAATACATGAAACAGTTTGTCATTATCAGTATACTTCAGCACTCTCATTGTTCTCAGCTGTTGCCTTGCATTGCTATCAAAGGTTGGAAGGTTGCTCCCAGACTTGAAATTCCACCAGAGAAGACTAAACATAGCACAGGAGTGACATTTTGTTTAGGGAAGTGCTAGCAGATGGTTGCATTCAGCATTTTTCAACAGCCCTGGTTGTCAAATGACAGTATCTTGAGAATCATCACATCCCTGAGGAACAAGGAACCTAGACAACGAATGGGCTGATTGCCCAATTTTCAAAACCAGCATCAACAGGTAGAAAGGCGGAACAAATCCACTGACTGATGGTCCCCAGCATTTATCCTTCCTGACTTTTCTCCAGTTTCTTTCTAAACAGTTGTATGACCATCATTACTTGTTATTCCTGTCTCCCTGTCCCACACTACCTTCTTCTGCTTTCTTGCCCACCCTAATCATATCCTGCCAAGCCATTAAATTCTGCTTCCTCCAGATAGCCTCCAGATAGCCGGATAATAATCATCTATCCTTCGTACCTGCACCCCCCCTCTTTAGATATCAGCCTAGATACAGGATATCCTGTTTAAAGATATGCAGTACCTGCCCTATGCTGGAGGCCATGTATTCTGTTCACCTGTCTAGACACCCACTAGTTCTTCCAAAACTCCTGTGCTCTATGTATGGCCAGCCATGTCTCTAGAAAATCTAGGCACCAATGGGAGATTTGTGCACTGTTTTGATAAAGATTGAAGTTATGTTCAGTTTTGGAATCAAGTTATCATTTGCTCTGCCCTAGAAGGTTATGTTAGAGTTCTCTGTAGCATTGCCTTGGCCATCCCACACCTTTAAAGGGCTCCTTGAAATAAGCTCAAAGGAGTTATTCAAGCAAGAAATTTGGTCTATTATCACCTGTCTGATAGTCACTGTATGGTCTTTACATAATAGACCCAGGCAAGCTGCTGAAGTGTACTTTTTAAATTCATGACAATAAAACCTAAAAAAAAGCAAAATCTTCATTTCTGAAATTCCCAAAGTTATGAAGTACAAGATGCTGGAGAAAATTATAGTATTATGGGATTTCTTGTACTTCAGATGGCAAATATAGCCCTTGTTCATAAAAAGCCAGGGCTTTTGCAAGGATAGAAAAGTTGCCTTGAAAACTGAACAGTAACCTAATAGAAATTGAAAGCATGGGAACCCTCTGCTTTTAACTGGTTCCATCTATCTTGGAACTGTCATCTAATCTTTACCCTCGTTGTTCATTCTCACTTCTTGTCATTATGGTTGCAAATCAGTATAGCTATGGAAGGGTGTGAAAATCTAGTCTGCCGCATGATTGGCAGTAATTTTTATATCTTCAGGGTATCTTCTTCTACTGAAGAAGACCAAAAATAAGTACCACTGTCTAATTTGACCTATGAGAGATGAGCCATGCTGCATTAGTTTGGTAAACTATTACTTCCACAAGCATCAGCTGAACTCCAGACTGAACGCTAAATGCTCTCTGAATTGGCATTCAGAAGGCCAAGTAAGAGACTTTCACCTCAGGTATGAGGCATCCATCCGTCCCCCTCCATACTACTTCTCACCTTATAAAACCCTCGTCTGGTTTGCGACACCTTAATTTGAGCCTATACTTGTTTGTTCTCTAGTATATAGTTAAGCAATTGGCTGCTCATGGCTTGGACAGATGTATTCTTTGCTGGGTAAAAAACTGGC